TTACATCTTATTTAGAAACTATCGGAAATTTCTATTTTCTCATTTATATTTTCTCAATTTGTTTCCCGAACAGAAAGCTCAAATACTGGACTGTCCAGTTCAAAGCTGGACACCTGGCAACCCTAATTTGAGGTGTTATAGATAGAGCAACAGACTCTCTGGTTCTCCAAAAGTGGTTCTCCTGCACTGGTCCTTTGGCCCAAGTTAGTATTTCTGATCAGAAGAGGACATAGCTGTTTGGTTGTGGATGGAAACATGTTTTTCCTTTAATGTATACACATAAATTATGATTGATGCTAAAGGGTTCCAAAAGTGTCTGGAGGGAGGAAAACAGGCCTCCTTCCTGTCCCTTCCCCCACTCTAAATGTCTTCTTCAGCATTTCTATCCTGGAAGCTGCGAGGCTATGTCAGGGGCTGTGGATAGATATAGGCCATAGGAAAAGTGCAGGAACCTGTACATGTACAGCTCTCCCAGCTGTGTGCAAAGCCTAACAATGATAAAGCTTATATTCCTATAGTTGTCTTATGTTATGGCTTTCTCTCACACAATGACCATGTGTAGCCAGCCATGGTAGAAGCTCCAGAGCCTGCAGAATCTGGCAGATGCTAACTAGCCCAAGCTTTTCTTGTCCAATGACAAGGCTCTCAGCACAGCCAGAAAAGCACCCTTACTCCCACCCTATAGAGCAGCCAATGGCTACCTCTGCCACAGGCAGCATGTAGCCTCTAGAAGTGGTGGAATAGCTAAGGAGAGGAATACTAAAAGGTCCACTCCTGTACCCACGGAAGTCAATGGGTTTCCCAGCTGGCCTCAAAAGAGGAAAATACAAACATATAAGAAACAGATAGAAAAGGGGGAAGAAGTGTGGGTGGGTGGGAGGACAGATGATAGGATATACCATATTAACTGTGTCATAACATATGTAGAGGGGTATCACAGCACAGTCAGGGGCATCCAAACAACAAAACCCAACAATGGGATCTTTTTTTCTAAGCCCCAAATTCTGCAGCATGTAATACCCAGTCTGAATTCTGTATCTGCAAAGAGGCCCAGTTACTCAAGGAAGGCTCTGCATGCATGCAAGAGTCCATTCATGTGGAACACAGTATAGGATCAGGGCCCTACTCTTTGGATTATTTATTTCAGATGTATAGAAATGTTTAAGAGGATGTCTGGTCATACGTTCTAGACACTCTTGACATTTGGGATGTAAAAGGTTAACCAGTAACTATTAGGCTTACCAGAATCTTTACTGGTTAACTGCACCTTGTATATACCATGGCAGCTAGCCAGCCACACCGGGCAGAAGCAGCCCTGGCCACTTCAAGCTAGCCAGCTGGCGAGACCCTGGTCCCGGCCATGGAGGGCCAGGTGAGCTGAAGCGGCCTCAGCTCAGCAAAAAGGCAGAACCCTGGCCACAGCCATGCCAGGGTGGGCCCAGTCCAGTTTTCAGAACTGGCAGGGCAGGCTGGAGCAGCCCCTTCCATGCCTAGCTAGGAGGATCACAGCACCAGTAGGCCCTGCTGCCCTGCACTGGCCCACTGGAGTAAACCTCACTTAACCATTAACTGATTAAATTATATAATTTTAATTGTTTAACCAGTTAACTGTTTTAACCAATATTTACATCCCTACTTGACATAACTTTAAAAATGCAAGTCCGGCCCAGCAGTACAATTTAAAATACTCCAGGATGGTTAAAAATGCAAATCTCCTTCTCTCTCACACAATTCCTCACTGACTCCTGCTTGTACCTTACAAGTTTTGACAATAGTAATTGAGCAATGCGGAAATATTTTCAAATGGGTGCTATGAAAAATCCATTTGCTGGAAATAATAAACAAAAACAAAACGTAGGAAAGACATTCACTAGCCCTTCATTGCTTATAAAAGGAGCCAGTGTGATAGCCCTAGAAAATAAACGTTCACTCTTGCAATATATGATATCTACATCAACAGCAACAGAACTCAAGCTTCTTATACTCCATATTAATAATACACCTCAGTTCACTTGTGATAGCACCATCTATCTCTAAGGGTGGTACTTAGATAGTCCTTCCACAAGTGAAGGGTGAAATTGTACCTTAGTATCTATTGGAAGTGATTTTTCCACTGACGTGCATGTTATGGAGTCTTCTGTGTGCAAAGTACATTTAAATTTACATTATAATTAGTAGCATTTGACATCAATTTTGCACAGGTGTGACCAACCACACAAGATGCCAGGAGAGAATCAGGCCTCAGAATGCTGAGATTGCCAATAAGGCCACCAATTGTAATGTTCAACTATTAAGTATGTATTGGAGTAACATCACCAATCCATTTAATATACTCCACTAAATGCCAGCATTAATTATTTCTATTCAGTAATAACCTTGGCTGGATTAGAACTGGTGATCAAGCAAAAGGTGCCATAATATAATATTAATCCCCATACTCAAAGACAGCATATAAGGTACTAGAACTAGCACATAGGAATAGAAGCCAAGGTTCCTAACTATGCCATTAGGTGTGGCCTCATTTATTTAAACTCTCTGTGCATTAATTTTCCTGTCTGTAAAAATGGAAATAATACAGGTTGAACCTCTCTAGTCCTGCACCCTCAGGACCTGACCACTGCTGAACTAGAGAATTTGCAGAACCAGGTGAGGTCAATATTGTCTAGCAGCATTACCAACACTTCTGCTGCTTACTGCTTCTTAGAAGACATTTAGTGGTAATTAGAGCTACATAACAGAACAGTACACTGAGAGCCTGGACTGGTGCCTGTCAACAAACTTTATGGGACCATGGCAAACTTGGCCACACCCATGAAAAGTGGACACTAAAATCATGCTGGTCCATGAATGCTGGCAGACCTGAGAGTGCTAGACTAGAAAGGTTCAACCTGTGCTATTTATCTATGTTTGTAAAATGCTTTGAAAGCTATACATGAAAATTACTAACCATGTGATGAGAATTTTGGCCAACAGTTCCACGAGTGACTAGAGACTTGGGATTTACTGTCTGGCCTAAAACACCTAAATTGGACCTGACTTTCAGAGGGTGACTCTTGGCCTTAGCATTTTTTGAAAATCAATAAAAAAAATTAAGTTGAACACCAAAGAAGTGAAGCACCCCAAAATCACTAGCAATTTAGAAAATCTGGGTTGTTAATTCATATTTAATTATCCAGTCTCCAGCCATCCTTGTTTACAATAAGAGCTAGATTACGTAGTTTTATTATGCTGTTTAGAATTCTGCATTTCTCCTAAAAAGAGTGCTACGCAATGCAAGTCAAGTTAAAGTGTATCTTTCAGCCACAAAGAAATTAATATATATGTTACACACACAAATCCTCCTATAAATTTACTTTGTCATTTTGTGAGATACAAACATTTTAAAATTAATTATTTATTATGATGTAACTACAATGCACTGGAATAAAAGCAAGGAGAGTTCAAACAACAGAGAGTGGGAGTTGAGGGGAAATTCACTCCTTTATTATGGAAAAAAAAACCTTACCAATGGGAGCTAATGGAGAGGAAAGGGGGGAAAAATGAGATTTGTTGAGCACTGGAGATATATGTGGTATCAAAGGATAAAAACCATTCTTATATCTTAAAAATAAATTAATATGTTGCCTGTATGAGGCTACCTTTCCCATTTTATTCTATTCTTATTACTGTTATTATTTATGATTTTTTATTTTGCCAAATGCTTCTTGGAAGACAGAATCATAGCTCCAAATAACTTGTAATCTGAGGGATAGTTTCTATAAATTGAAAAATAAATGCCACATTTTGTCTTTTAAAAATACTTAAAGTACAGATGCCACAGGTTATCAGACATAATGAACAGTATTAGAGAGAATCAGGTTGTTTCATTTAAACAGAAAAAGGAGCTTTTCATAGTTGTAAGACGTGTCAGCAGGTTTTTCAATCCTCAATTGCAACAGTGATGCAGTTACACCAAAAGTTGCTGGTGTCATGCTGTTGTTTTGTTTGTGAACGTCTGAGATTAAAAATAAATGTCTAGATTTACTTCACATCCATGTAAATGTTAATCTGCGAGAGACCCTAACAGGACTGCATGTGTCATAGGGAAAACAACATGTGTATGGCATGCTGTGTATATTGTACTGTTATAATATCCCAGCTCATTAAAATAGCTTCAATTGTCCATATTAACATTAATTTTAAAAAACTAACAACATATTGTTTATGTTAAACTGGTAAGGGCCTCAGAAACACCTTTTGGAAAGAAAGATTATTAACGCAAGATTCAGTACCAGTCCTTCATAGTATCGCTTTTCAATGTTATTGTCTGAAAACCTTTTGATAGTTCAGTGAGTAAATGACCATTTCAGCAAACTGTTTATCTTCATTGTTTTCAGTTCAGGGTGGTCGAACTGATTTTCTGTATTTACTAACTAACTAGTCATTGACTATATGGATGCATTTCAGCCTCTCTGAACTTCTCTGTGTATGTTTGGCCTCTGAATGAAATCATCCCGACTTAAAACAAAATCATCAGCAACAACTGAAATCCTGCCTTTGCTACTTGTTTACCAGCTCAGACTGGCAAATCATAACACAAAGAATTTCTCTTCCATGGGGCACTAGACAGTGGCAATAAAAAAACCCCACTTCGGTATCCAGTGGAGTCGTAGTTTATTACCACAACCCTCCCAAGTCAACCAATGGACACCAGTTTCAAGCATGTATAACTAGTGCAGATCTGCCTTGCTCTCACTGACCTGAGTTTGCTGGTCCTTCTACCTGCCTTGCTAGGCTGCCTACAGGTCCTGAAACATTATTAAAAGAAACGTGATGATCTTTGTGTGTGAGTGTGTGTGCATAGGAGAGTGTGTGTGTGCGTCTCTCTCTCTCTCTCTTTGGGTGTAACGGGCCAGCTGTATGGCTGGGGGGGGAGCCTGTCCCACAGCCCCTGAGCCAATGGCAGGCTGCCTTATATAAAAATGAATGTTTTCAGTCTCTCCGGCTTGCATGTACTGTATGTGGAGCAGTGTACAGTGGAAACCCAGGCTGTGCTGTGAGCTCGTCTCTTCACTTTCCCATAGAGAAACACTGACTGGCCACTGAAACACACACACACTCAGGCACACAGAGAGGTAAGTGCCCACCACCCAGCGCCTTTCCCTTCTCAATCCAGGCAGGAGAGGTGCCCTCTCCTCACACTTTCCTTTTTTTATTACTCACTTAACAGCACTGGGGCAGCCCCCAAGGCCCCCTCCAGCAGCCGCCGCCGCCGGGAGGGTGGACTTGGAGGAAGGCAGAGACCTTTCCATGTCCTGGGCTGCTGCTGCTGCCACAATTCCCAGTCACTTTTCCTCCCTCGTTGCACCCCAGCCTTCCTTTCAAACTTTGGATGGGGTGGGGGGAGTGGGCTTGCTTCTCTCGCTTCCTTCCCTTCGTTAAAAGGCCAGGCGTGGAAGGCGGGTGGAGGGGGGAAGAGGTGAATTGCAATGCAATGCATAAGGGAAAAAAATACACCGGGGTAGGCCAGCCAGTGCCAGGCTGCGTTTGAACCAGTACCTCTCACCACACAGAGGCAAGAGCAGCAGCAGCAGCAGCAGCAACAACAACAACATCTTGTTCCTGTATCGCTAAGCAACTTAATGTAAGGGAAATGGAGGCGTATTACTTACCTGATATTGCTTTAGAGAACATCCATTCTGACCACTGGCTATTATGTGTCATCCAGATACCACTGTATAGAACCTTACCACGCCAGAGTTTGATCTTTTGGCATTTGATTTAGCAGGTCTAGTTAAGACCTGCTAAATTGAACACTGAGGGTGGCTTCAGTCCGCGCCGTGGCAGTCGCAAGGAATAAGGGAAGTATTTTCCGGTAGAGCCATCCGTGCGATGCACTCCTCCTCCTCCTCTAACAACCACCAAAAATGTTGTAATTTACTAGAGAAAAAGTGGGGATAGTGCAAGCCGGGGAGGAAGAAAGAATACAAGGGGGGGGAGGGACGGAGGAGGAGAGAGGCTGTGTCAGGATTTTGCATGAATGTGGGATTATGTTGTGTCAATAAGTTTAAGGTGGAGAGAGAGAGAGGCTGGGGGGAAGGAAGGCCTTGGCTGTTTAAAGTCCTATTTCTGAAGGTAAGTTGTGACATTGGATGGTCGCGATGACAGAAAACTTGGAGATAATTTGCCCCAGGAGGGGGTTGGTGCCTTTAATGGGGGTTACTCAGTCATTAGGAGCCAGATTGGTGTTAAACTGTTATTTGCTGCTGCGATATCGGGTCGCTGGTAAATTACAGAAATCAGACTCTTTCCTCCCCCCCCCCCCCCTCCTCCCCGCTACCCTCTCTCCTTCATGGCTAGGAAGGGAACCGATCCAGTGTAGGTTTGCAATGGGGGAAGAAGGGAGGAAACAGCATTGCTCCTGGGCTCTGTAAAACGGCAGGTTTGGGTTAGAAATATCTTTTTTACAGCCCGCTGCCGCTGAACGAGGAAGGTAAAATGAAACGATGCAAAAAGAAGCTGAGACAACATGTACGACAGAGAGAGCGAGTCATGGCTAGGAAGGGAACCGATCCAGTGTAGGTTTGCAATGGGGGAAGAAGGGAGGAAACAGCATTGCTCCTGGGCTCTGTAAAACGGCAGGTTTGGGTTAGAAATATCTTTTTTACAGCCCGCTGCCGCTGAACGAGGAAGGTAAAATGAAACGATGCAAAAAGAAGCTGAGACAACATGTACGACAGAGAGAGCGAGCGAGCGAGAGGCACCGACAAGCTATTTTTTGCTTTCCTTTTCTGTAGAAAGGGGAAAGAAAATGCCTGGGTCTCTCCCACTCCCTGTGAGCAATGGCTCGCTGCTTGTCTTTTAACTGTGTGAGGGGCAAATTAGCGACTTCTCACGAGAGGATCTTGTTTAAAAGTTTTTAAGAGGTGAGAGTCTGTGTTGGGGGAAAGGCGGGGAGGGGGAGCAGAGCCTTGTGGAAGGTTGGTGGCGAGAAATCAGCCAGGCTGCTGAGGATGGTCACTTGGCCTGGGGCTTTGAAACCATTGCCTGTCCTACTAATGACACGTTCAAGTCCCAGATCTAGGCACGGCAGAGGTGGGGGCCGCTGGCCAGCCCTCCCCAGCCCCACTCCCCGATATTAACACGCTGTGGAGATGGAGCAGGGACAGGAGTCCAGGTCTCCATGTGGCTCCTTGCAGCAGCAGCAGCACCTCCTCCCCGGTGGCAGCTGCCGCAGCGGGATCAGCGCCCGGGCCCGCGGGGAGGAGGAGGGGAACAGCAGCAGGGAGGTGTTTTTTTGCCAGTCTGATTCACCAAATCTCGTTGGGGAGGGAAGGCTGCAGGGTGAGGGGGGGGGAAGCCTCCCCGTCGCCCCTTATTCCCCCCTTTCTCCGTCCTCTCCTGAAAGGTGTTGTGCAGACTTTTCCCCCTGGGAGGGTGAGATTTGTGCATTACATTATTGCTCCTCTCCTCCCCCCCAAAGCAAGATGGACTCTCTTCTCTCTCTCTTTCTCTCCCCCCTCTCCCTGTGTCTTGTCAGCCTTTAAGATCGACATTTTGTAACTAAGATGCAAACTTGATGGTGACCAGGAGGCAAAAGGGAAAGCCGGGGGTCAGTCTCGCCTCTCTCCATATTTAATACCTTCCCTTTCACCCCACCCCAGAGCCCGGATTCCGGTGGCCCTACACTTCGCACAGGGGGTGGCGGTGGTGGTTTGCAAATGCATTTCCCCACGCGCTGTCTGGATTCAGGTCTCTCTAATCTCCGTATGGATTGCGAGGGTGGAGGGGCTTGTTTGGCGTTTTCAGGACTCTCCAGACCTGGAAAAGGGGAATGGGCATTACCTGGAACTGTGCTACAACGTTACAGGCGCCTCTCCTCCTCCCTCTGTGTACATCTAGTACCTGAAATCCGGGCTTGTTGATTTCCTAATATTATTACTACGTCGCTGAATTTACCACGCTGGGGATTGAGCCAGGGCACTTGTGTAAATCGTGTGGGTTTTATTGTGGCTTATTTTTTTGTGATCAACTTTCTGCCTTTTATTTGGATGCGGCGCATATTTTCATGGGGAGAGCGAGCAAGAAAATAACCCACCCCGCTGATGCACACTCAGATGATTTGTTCCACTTGCCCAGTCCCAATGCCCTTTAAAGACATGGTGCATCTTTTGTTTGCTGTTTAAGGGTTCCTGTGACTGTCAACCTGCTTCCCGTTTTAAGGAGAACTTAGAGGCGGGGGGAGGGGTGTGTGAGGAGGAAGCAAGTTTCAAGTTTTGGGAATTTCTCCTCTTGTTGGCGTTGTGGCGAGTTGCAATACTGTAAAATCATGGTGTACTGATGATGTGCCTGTATTTGATACTTTATAGGTCACTATCACATGACAAAGGCTCGGAGACAGCTTCATCTTCCTCTCTCTGTTATTTCCATTTGCCTTCCTGGGTAAGTATGTAAACTGTTCACCCAGGGAAAAAGTGTAATTGTTGTTAATGAGATCCAGCCTATCTCCCTGTTCCTTTTCATGGGGAAGATGCTAGTTCAGGATTTAGCAACCCAGAAAACATGTTTTCTCTTGGGTCCTCACAGGAACTGTCATATTACAAAGTTTGTATTTTAGCACTGCAAAAGGGATGGGTTTCACCAACATGTAAATTAGAAAGCTCTCAGTTTTGAGATCTTATTAGGTCACTTATGAAAGAAAAGCCCTTGCCTTTGAAAGAACAGTTTAATTATGGGAAAAGTTTTAAAACAATGATTGGGTTTTAAGTGCAACACTGTGAGTTAAAAAGTTATTAGCCATAAACAGACTGTATAACTTGAAGCTAGCAATAGGGATGGAAAATATGAAGGGATATATAGTTAAGAAATCCATGAAGTGTCTGTTAGTAGTTGGGGGAAAGTTGTAATGCTAGGTTGACAGGAGTTAACTTAGTTTTAACATGCAAATCCCACTTTCCTGGTAATTCTAGTGCTTTCTGTATCTTTTACTATTGCTCTTCCTGAGATTGGTTAATATAGGTAGCTACTGAATTTGAAAGACAAATTTTAGTGATTAAATTGCTAATATTCCAAAGTACTTTTAGGTACTACCGCATGTTTGTTTGTTTATTTTTGGAAGAGTTTTATACTGTTGAACCAATGTAATTGTTTCAGAGATTCGAGCAATGCAGGCCAAATAAAGAGCTGGTATAAGTGCATGTAACTCAAGTGGTGTTGGTGCAGTTGAACCTAGCCCCAGTGGTCTGATTTTGGCTACTGATGATGGAAAAACAGCAATATTGCAAATATTGAGAATATATAGTTTAAAAAACCTATATATTTAGGGGATGAGATTTGTTCTCATAAAAAGCTCATAAATAACACAGTCTTGATCTTCAGCAGTCCCTGTATGGCAAACATGTGGTATGTGGTGATTTCAAATAGGCAAAGGAGGCTGTTGAGAGTAGTTGTTCTTATGGAATCTTTTGTAATGGGTGTAGCCACAATACTAACTATTGGTATACTTGTAGCAGAGAGACTGCGTCCCATGACTTGTCCGAATGTTGGAGGGAGGTGGATTCTATCACCAAGTTAACACCTAAATTCCAATATTCAGTCTGTATGGGCAGGCAGACGGTTGGAATATATATGTGCCTTTTATCCTTTGACATATACTATAATGGCAAAAGAAACTGAATGCAAAATAAACCAATTAAAATTGTATTGCAAGAACATTTGCATTGGAAAAATATAGCTTTCAAAAACTGCTAGCCAGACTTTATAATCTTATTCACAAGAATTGCATTTTCTGCAAAATAATTGATGCAACAGTCTTTACAAAGTGAAATCGTAGTACAAAAATTCTAAATCTTATAGCTAGGACTCCGACTATGTGTTCAGATTGGAGCAGCATACATTGACTTCTGAAAAAAAAAAAAGTTCCATGCATACACTTGAAATCAAATTAGAATTCTGGACCGACAAAAGGTTTTATTTGGTGTAATGGTGTAGGATTTTTGAGAAAAATAGAACTTTGAGAGCTTGCATCATAACTGATAAATGGTCCTGGCATGGCTAAAATACTATCCTCAGACCTTGCACTTAATATATTAGCTTACAATACAATATGAAGATGTGTGGGTGCATAGAATTCTTTTCCATAAGTGTTGGGCTGATTGTGTTCTCCATACAGCTCTACAAGAAGTGGATAGTTGAATTCTACTTATACTTACAGAGTCAGTGTAAACGCAGCTCCAAATAGCATTGAAATGGTATTTACAAATTACGAAGCAGAGAAATGGTAAAATATTGTATTGAGGAGAAGGGATACTTGAAGCTTTAAAAGAAGCACTAAAATAATTTTTGTGGACTTGAAAGAGTAATATAAAATGTATCTAGTTAACAGCAGAATGGAGATTTTCTCAAGTTTAGCTATTACCAGATATTTTCATTACTTTTGGGAATTCTTTTGTTTGATGAAAGTTATCATCACGTGATTTTAGGAGATATAATGACCATATAATTTAAACTGAATTTAGTAAAAAAAATTCCATATAAATCCCAATATAGTGTATAGAGCCAGAGTTTGATCTGTTATAAACTAATCTATAATAATCACAATGAAGTCACTTGTTGAGTGCAGGGGTGGAGGGTTGTTTCCTACAGGATTTATATGCAGAATAGACCTGCCATGCGCAAGTTTCAGACACTGGCTTATAATCTGAAATGGTGGGTATATCATCAACATATACAACTTGTCTGAGTTACTAGAGCAAAATAGTAAAAAGGTTTCAAGTAAATACACAATTCAAAATAATGTAAAATGTTCTTTGGTGCTTTTGATAAGCACAAAATGTTTTACTGACTGGCCCATTAATGCCTGACAAACCTAACACCTGTGTCACAAACCTACTGCAAGCTTATTGACATCAGTGGACGTTACCTTCAGCAAAAGGCCTGTAAGAGACAGTGATGCAAATTTGAGTATAGATATCTTCCTGTCCAAGGTGAGGAAGAAAGCCCTAATGCCTCTTAGTTGTTGTTTGAATAATTTAAGATATTAAATGTCAGTTTTCCACATTCAATATCAGTGATGATATGCATTTTTATACCGAACATTTTTTTCTTTCATCCCAAAGGATCTCAAAGCACTTAACAACCTATGACCTCCAACCCAGCAGATCATATAAATAATTTTAAGCAAATGAGTGGTCCCATTGAAGCTGCTCATCTGGTTAGTATTATTCCCATGCCTAGGTGATAGCTGGATAGGAGGCCTAAATACTATACTTACAACAACACTAAAACATCACCAACAAGGAGTGAAAAATGACAGACCTCTTGCATACCACACATGATGTAACAATGTACAGAAAGAAATTTTTGGCCTAGATCATTGGGGTAAATCTTTCTTTTATGTAATGTGCAAAAGGAGGATCAATACACAAAAAGTAGCTAAATCTTCTGTTTTCCTTTTTATGATAGATTTATTTGTGCAGAGTAATTAGATACATGGTGTGTATAGGTTGTTTATGCATTAGTTCCCCCAGCACCTGTGAGGCAAACCATGGCATTTGTTTTAGGAATGTAAAATGCTGTTTAATCAGTTAACTGGTTAAACATTGCGTATAACTTGTTAACCGATTAAGCAGGATCCCACGGGGTGGGGAGCATTCACTGGTTAACCAGTTACCAGTTAGTATCACCCAGAAAGTATTACCCATTCACACCACTAATCTGTTTCATAGGGTATAGCATCCATAGTATGCAAGATTTCATGTATATTCAAAAGAGTTTTAGAGCAGAAGGATGGCATAGATTAGGCCCTGGAATAGGATTTAGGAGATCTGGGTTCAGTTTTTGCCTCTGCTGCAGACTACCTGAGTGACATAGGACCAGTGATTAAGTTCAGAAAGTTTCAAAAATGGCCACTAGTTTTGCCTGGCTTACTTTTTCAATGTGCTGCCTTGGTCTGAGCAGCCACAGTTCCAGCTGAAGTCAGGGGGAGCTACAAGTGTTCAGACTGAGTCACCCTGAACTGGAGACTGCTTTTGAAAAGGGAGGCTCTTATCTCCCTCTGCTTCACTCTTCCATCTATACAACTGAGATTAATAATATTTCCTTGTTGTAGGAGTGTCGGAACATTAAACCCATTCATATTTGCGGGATACCACGGTAATGTGGGCAACAGAAGTATCTATGTAGATACGTAATGCACATACTCTAGCTCACTTTTTTGTACTGTTATATGTTTCATCTCTAGGACTGTAAAAAATCGGTTAATTAGGTGTAACTGCTGCAAATCTTAGCAGTTACATGGTTACACACTGCGAGCTCTGCAATATAAGCTTTATAGTGCAGGGCGGCAGCTGGCTTCCCGGGAGTGGGGCTGGGAGCCATTGGGTAACCATTACGGTAACCAATAAGCTCATGGTTATTGGTTAACCGTTTCAATGGTCAGGGCTCGACAAATAATACAATCTACTTGCCCGTGGCGAGTAGATTGTAACCCAGAAGAGCCGGGTTCGGGCGATCTGCGCATGCGCAGAACGATCTGCGCATGTGCAGATCACCGGAAAACGCGACTGGCGAGCGGGGCTTGCCGCAGTTCGGCGAGCCCTGTTGATGGTTATACTGATACATCCCTAGTTTCATCTACTATATATTTGAGAGAGTTTGCCTGGGAGAGATTCATGCTTCGTCCCCATTCCTAATTTGAGGCATTCCAGCTCTGGGAGGAAGGAGGGCAGGGGCAGAGTTCGAATCAGGCGATTCGTGGTGCTCAAAAAGTGCTGGGAGGGAGGAGGAGTGGGAAGTAGGAGGCTCTAATGCCCCCGTGTGTGAGAGGTGTGTAGGATAGTGGGGCAGACGGGGCAGTCAGCAGGCCGCAGGTGGAAACCAGTTGCCATCACTGATTTAAATGAATCACATACATTTTCATTTTATTTTCTAAAAAACCAAAAATGTACTTGACTTAACGACCCAAGCAACACTAGGTACATCTTCTAGAAATTACACAAATGGTATTATCGAAATAGCTTTTATATTTTCTTGTTACTTTTATAGGCCACTTTGATTTTAATACTTGAACTATATGTATTAAAATTACCTTTAGGAAGTGTTATTTAGTTAGCTAGTTGCTGTTTTGTCTTTTTTGAACCCATTTTTAAAATTTATTATATGAAAATGTTACTGGTTCAGATCCTTATTTGTAGGACCACAATGACAACTGGTTCTGTTAGCTTCGTTGATGGTCTCAGTTCTGTTGCTAGTGAACATTTGTCAATTTCACAAAAAAAGACGGTCACAGCTGCCATTCTCCTCTGTAGTTTCAGAAGAGCCCAGGACTGAATGAGCATAAAGATGAAGTTAATTTTAGGAGTGAGCTACCAAGTCCCTGTTGAATCACATTGGTGAGGCCATGTGGGGACGTTTGCACTAACAGTGCTGTTCTTGTTCTAAAA